TTAGCAGAATTAAGTTTTACTGACAGTTTTACATTTAAAACTTTTAAAGAGTAATCTAGTTTTTATAAAAAAGGAATGTCACTTATAGTAAATCATCTGGTCTTATGTCTCGTGTACTCTCAGTTACGTCTTACGTAAGTTACGTAATATTACGTAATATCTTATAAATTTAATAATGCAAAACTTTATAAAGCTCTAAATTGGAGTGACAGTGCTTCATACGCTACAACGCTAAAATTATAGCTAAAGAAAGAATAGTCAAAGTATTGTGTGTCAAAGTATTTGTACAAAATAAAATCTCGACATAATAACAAATTATACATATAAATTAAAGAATATTTACTTCAACAACTTGAATTTTTATGATCAAACATCTTCTCTAAATTAATGATGATTTTAATAAAGTGAATTGAGAAAAAATGTATGTGAATGCAGCTAAATATTAGAATCAATTGGATAAAACAAATGTTTTATTTATAATAATCATTAATAAATTCAAGGTGTTAATGCTTTCTTTTATATTTTTGTCTTTTCTTTCTGTATATCCGTTCTAGGAATTAAAACTCATTTTGGCACAGCATAACTCATAATTTTGCCCGTTAAGAAGATAAGTAACTTACATAAGAAGATATTTGAAATATCTTTTACAAATGTAATATATTGCAAAATTGTAATTTAACTCTAACATGATACAATTTTGTCTTTGTATTAAGTTTAGTCGACAGTTACATTAGAATAGCTACAACAAAAGTGAAAAGCATCAGGTAAGACAACAAGAGCATTAAACGACAAGAGCTTAAGTAACACTATTAGCCGGATTCGTGTTAAGTTTTACTATGGTATTTAATATCTGGATATTTTTAAAGACCATTCTGCTTTTATGAAAAAAATATCACTTATATCACTATTAAATCTTATGGTTTTCTAACTCAAATACTGCTATTATAAGATACGTTATATATCGAACATCGATTAGCTTCTAAACGTTCAATGCTTTCGAAACAACAAGAAAAATGACCGCAAGGAATGAAGGCATGTGTGCGCTCGTTGTCAAGACACCATAAAATTATCTGTAAATGTTTTTTTGGTACTTTTATCCTTCAGATTCCTGTTTACAGCGTAGAACGGAATATCTTCTGTAAAATCGGTGTTATCATTTAAATAAAACTTTTCATCTTTGAGTATTTCTCATATCAACAATCTTTAAGAAAAAAAAAATATTGTTCGTATCACAATATATATTAAAGTTTTCTTGAATGTGTTATTTTATTTTACCTTGACTGTAGTAAAATATTGTAAGTAAAATCACTTTACTGAAATTAAATTCTGTTATAGCGTTTTCTTTGATGATTCATTTTTTTTTGTTATTCCCTTCCTTTAATATTTCATCTATTTTTCTTACTACTACATATAATTCTGGTAATTTTT